CGCACCCTCGGAAAAGATTGTCCAAGCCCCCCTGGGGAGGAACGAAAGTTCGTATTTCCTAGGATGACGGCGGAGCTGAGCTCCGCCGGGACGTGTCGGCCTCCAGGCCTGGGGCAGGCCAAACCGCCTGGGCATCCGACAAGTCCAGCAAGCGGTGGGCTGGTTAAACCCGAGGTGTGCGAGCGGCAGGTTGGAGAGCGCCCGTCTCGTTAGCGTAGCTATTGGCACCAACAGGTTGGCTGGCGACCAGGCAGAACGAAGGCAGGCGAGAAAGGAGATAATATTCGTCCCAATTAAATGGGATGCTTAGCGGTCCCAAAGCAATCTCCACTCTTCTCCTGTGTTTTCTAGATTAAAAACACCCAATCTGTTTATCGTCAGTTTGGCCACATGGCAAAACTGTGTGATCAAGAGAAGCCACCTGTGCTTTGATACCCCAGACCTCCAAAATGGTAAGGATCAGGGTTATTTTCACTTGAACGGGGTTGTTTCAGCTAAGCCTGGAGTCCCCTGCATCTGTACACCCTCTTTGATCTTTCTTAAAAGGACAGGGTCTCTTGCCAGATGCAGCAAAAAATGGTAACCGTAGTACAAGTAGTAGTTTGTTATCTGAACAGACTTGTCTGGTTTTCCGCTAGCGCCCTGGGACGCCAGCAGAGCGGGCCAGGACTCGCCGTGACTTGTTCCAGTTGCTCAGCTTCATCTGCTGAGCTCCTGAATGATTTGAGGTGGCCCTTTCCAGTCCCAAGGAAGGATCTGGCTCATATTTTCGATCGAGATTTCTCATTCCAGCTCGTTGTTGCCAGTTCTGAATTGGTAGGGACCAGAGCGTTACAGAAGCCATCAAGTATGGGCCCGAACCGCATCCTGGGAATACTTCCAACCTCTATGGATCTGGATATTCCTTGGCATGTACCCTGGATATTTCCTGGCACATCCTTCCCTGGCATGAAAAGGATTGAGGTGGAAGGTTTTCTCTTTCCCAATGTAGCGTAAGCTCCCTGAATGTTTGCGCTGCAGGTATCCAGCGATGCAGATGAAGAACAGCAACATGAATAGCCGTAAAACCTCCGGCACTTGTCTTACTATTGCCTGATTCCCAGGGCTCCCTTTTCTCGTGTTGCTCCTGGGTTCAGGTTTTCAGTCTGAATGTGCATTTAATCTGGAGGACTGTCATTGTTTTTCCCAGCGGGGAGGCTCTCGCCGCTGGGACACGTTTTAAAACAGCAGCACTTGGTGAGTGTGTCCGATTGACGCTGGAAGAGAGAATCCTCTTTTGTGAGCTGATCTTTTTTTTTTATAAAGAGAGCCTAATCAAATGTGCGGAGTCCTCTGTTAATTTATTTACCCTTTGTGTTGACATTTAATGAGCTGCATTAACAAGCTGCGGAGAGCGCTGCGGCACACGCCTGTAAAACTCTAGCGCAGCGTGCACGTACCACCGGGGGTACGCAGGAAACCCGTCTGTGGTGCACGTTAACAGATTAATTATAATGACTTGATATGACAAACGTGCTGGTGGTACTTAAGGTTGAACTGAAAACTGTGCAGGTGGTACTTAAGGGTGTATCGTTTTAAATTGGTGGTGCGCAATCTCTCGGCGTTTGGGAACCACTGCTCGCGCGGGTTTCTTCTATTCTTGTGTTGCTGGTCCTAAGAGTTGAGCACTCCTGACTCCACACATTGTCTGTCCCCATCAAGCAGATGTTGGTGGAGTGATCTGCACCTTCATACAGTGCGAATAATACGTGTTTCAGGCAGGTTGGTATACTTCTGTTTTAAGAGGACGGTTATTTGAGGATTTCGGTGTTCGAAGTGGTTTGAAATAAGGCCCTGTCTGTCTCTTTGAGTAGCATCCCTGCACGCCCTTCAGGATGCATCCCTTTCTTGCCTAGCTCACTTCTCACCCGCAGAAGGATGTGATCAACCTGCAGTTAGCCTCAGGGGTACGACACCTTCCTTTGTTCCCTTGAGCGTGGAGGTCCCTTTTGCAGTGCCACCAGAGCAGTTCTGCGTGCCAAAGAAAGAGCTTGATTCGGGGAGGCCACTGTGGGATGGTGCTGTGCAGTGTAAAATGAAGGGTAGGTCACAGCACTTGGGGAGGGGGCGAGGACTTTCCAGTCCCTCCTGGGAGGTGGAAGGAAGCTGGATGGTGGAGCGGTTCTGGAGGTGGGGAGAAGGGTGGACTCTTTTCCTTCGCAGAGATAGTCAGAACATCATCAGCTGAACGTGTGATTGAATAAGTTGTTTCATTGAGGTACCTTGGCACTAATGAACGTCTCTACATGGAGACTTTCCTGCCCTTTATCTTAGCAGTCAGGGTTGTGGTCTGGGATGTGGGAGACCTAGGTCCACCTCCCCTTTCTTTCTGATTCAGTGTGCCATGAGATTAGACTCTGCTCTAAATCATGCAGAGCAGAGACTTTTTGACCTTCAAGGTCCTGGTTTGTCCCACCCAAATTCTCTAACTGAGAAGCTTGGTTTGCTATCTGGATGAAATGGGCAGCTTGATACAGCTGCTGAAGAACAGAGTTGCCATCCTTTGGCCTGCTGTAGTCGGTTCACTCGGCTGAGCTGATAATCTGTACCTAATCTGTTTGGTACAGATTAGGAATGGCCTGCTGAGGCAGAGGTCTGGGTTTTCTAATATATTAGAAATGTCTAATTTCTAATATTTCTAATTTTAGTAGTATTAACAAGTGAATCCTCAGGAGCCCGCCCATAAGGAGAGGCAGGTCAGTAGCATTTCCATTTTCCAGACGGATGGTCAGGTCCAAAACTCTGGGTCAGGTCCAGCACACAGCAGAGGCCTTGAGACAGGTGCTTAGGTCTCTTGATAGCAACTGCTTAGTAGGTTGTGTGAAATGTCACTGGTCATGGTTTTGGCTTTGTAAACCGTGTGTATTGGAGCCCAAGTTCTGGAGATGTTTGGATCAGTGGTTCTGGATAGACCGGTAGCAGGTTGATTTGTATAGCTTCTGGTTTAGTCCCCAGCTGCTTCCCTCCCGAGCCTCCAGGATTTCTTTGAACAGAAAATAAAATGCAAGCTTATTACAAGGCCTGTAGTTACAAGCTACAGAGAAAAGGGTTTCCAGTGTGCTAGAAGCCAGATCCATTGCTTGGTTTGGGAAATGAGTCCCACGTCTTAAGCTCAGGCCCGTGCAACCGGTTGTTCTGTTGAATAGCTTCTATTTTGTTTCATTTTTGAATTCTTGAAAAGTTCAGAAGTTGGATTGTAGATGTTCAGATTGTGATCAAGCAGCAAAGCGCACACTATTATAATGATCAGTGGAAGACCATAATAAACCTGCTGTTTAAATGAGCATGCCAACTAGCAGCTTCCTCTCATGGAAACCATGCGAAGTACAGAGCTTTTGATTTAGGAAAAGCAAGTTGCAGTGAATCACCTTGTGGGTTACAGAAAATTGTCAGTGCGCGGCCTGGACATACACAGTCATGCCACAATTGGGATTTAGGAACGGTAACGGAATAACTCGTCCTTCCCTAGTTTTTAGCTTGGAGTGTGACATGCTGTCATGCAACAGACTGGCTTGATTCACTGCCGCCTTCCTGTTCTGCGTATCCCAGCCCCAAACACTTGGCCAGCCAAATGCAACACTTGATGTTTTTCAATATAAATGTATTTTTTTGGAGGAACGCAGCCATTAGGACTTGACAAAAGGCAACAGAAAGCTCATGCTACAGAGCAACACTTTAATTGGCCACTGAGTCCATGCACTTTGCAGACCCTGCCTGGTGGCATGCACAGCACAGCCTTCCCTGTCTGTAGATATAATTGTCTGCAAAGAGATGAACTGTAGCATGAGGCCTAACAATGCTTTTATTGACATCCAGGGTGGAAAAAAATAGAAGGCTCAGGATTCAAGCCTAAGGCATTTCCTTCAAGACTGTGCAGCCTCAAAGCTGAACCCTCAGCTGGAAAGTTGTTTAATTACTTATTGACAGTGGATGTTAAATAGCCTCCTGCTGGAGAATAGAGACATCAGTGTCCTGACGGTCATATTCATCGCGGCAGCCACAATCGAACTTACACTGTTGCATTCAAACCAAAATACCTTTGATGTTGCCTGCTATTTAAGCATAGTGATGGCAGGGTTTTTTTATGGCATCCGTACTTCTGTATAAGACTCTGCAAATAAAGCCCTTTCACAGCTTTCTGCTCTCAAGAATGCTAATAATTTAAGGGTGGACAACGTCCAAAGTTGTGTGTTTGCCTGTGTCTACGCCTGGGTGCAGGTTGCATTGGCACTGCAAGGCAAAACCCCTGCGTCACAGCAGCATGTTCGAGGCTGACCTGCCTTGGGCATCACCCAATGTAAACACGTTGTCCAGCTTAACCTGGATATCCGGTGGAAATGACTCTCTTAATAAATTAAGGAAATTTAGCAGAATGGGAGTCAATTATGGGAATTGCATAGGTTGAAACGGGAAGTGGACAGTGTAAAAAGCCCATTTTTAAGATGAAAGTGATTTATTAGTGTTCTTCCCAACTTAATGCATTTGGATGGAAAGGAATAATTCAGAAGATAGGCCAGCATCGCTTTAAAGTCAGCATTATCTGGGTTTGCTGATAATATTTCAAAGTAACGTAATGACGGTTATGTGCTAGGAAGAGCTTTGGGAATACTTTATTAGAATAATCAGCTACTTGCTCTACCAGAATTCACTGATCTTTTTGGAGCAGTGCCATCTAATTTTTCCTTGAATTTTCAGAGGTTCGCAGCACTTTCTGAAATCAGCAGCAAGGGCCATGTGAACTAATTGCTTCCATAATTAAAGCACCAGCTTATTATTGGCTTTTAGAAGGTAGACTTTTTTTCATGGCCTTCCCTGGTTTGAACTTTGGGAAGATGCTTTCCCCTTGAAAACATTTGGGTTTACGCTAAGTCGAGCATGCCGTGTGTTGCAAGAAGCTCCCTGTGATGGCTTTCAATCCGTTAGATGACCCTGGTTTTTTCTTCTTTGTTGTTGAAGGTCTCAATATTTGCACGAATGGAAGTGCTACCTCTTGTGAAGATTGTCTGCTCATTCATCCCAAATGTGCGTGGTGCTCCAAAGAGGTAGGTACTCTGCCTTGTTCTGCTTTTCCTGTGACTCAGTATAAACTGCTTAATGCAAGAAAAAGGCAGGTTCTTAGTTCCTCTTCTCTCTCTTGTCCTTTCCCAACACCATCCCTCCGCAGTGAAAGGCTGATATAGGGAGGGGGAGCTCTTCCATCCCTGGCAGACTTTATGGTGACACACGTGTGATCTATACATTTCTTGGCAAGCTAAGAAGTAGGTCTGCTTATTCCTTTCTCTGCATCCTAAATACACTTGCCCTCTGGAGCTTGCTCAGTGCAATGGCCAACCTGAATCAGCAGGTTTCTTTTTTGTTTTTTTAAATGAATCCCATACGTGGGGCTTCATATTTTCAAACGTCTGCTTGCTGCTGAAAGTTGCATGACGGTGGAAAAGTAAATGCCTGTTGCTGAGCACTTCTGCCATGCTCACATCGTTAATGGGGCTTTCTGGACTTCTAATGACGCCACGCCCTGGCCTTTGTAATGTTTTCTGGGCTGGCTGCCGTTCCAATACAGGCTGGAAAAAAGGTGTCATCTTTTTGTCATTGGTCATTTTGGACATTTTTGGTCATTTTTTTTTCTTTTATAATGTTCGCAGAATGACACTGCCTGAAAGGTCAGGCATCCTGCAGACCTCTTGTGTGGATGAAAAGGATCGGATTATTTCTTTAGTGTTCGGATGCAGGAGAATTGCAGACTACTTATGGATTAGGGTCTCTGTTTGGGCAATCTAGTGTCAGACTCAAATCTTTGTCTGACAAACCCCCTTTACTTTGAACTGTGTGCTCCGCGGTGGGATGGCTGAGGGCGTAGGGAGAAGAGAAGGCTTGTCCGGGTTGCTGCCTTCCTTCCCAACTCTGGGAGGAAGGTGTAGGAAAGGACAGCTGGGCCAGTCTGGAGGAGGAGGTAACCTGTGGCAGGTGTTGGCTGAGAGTAGCCTGTTTCCTCCCCTGAAGTATAGGTAGGGTTGGGGAGAGAGCCGTGACAGAGTCACGATTCCCTCCCTTACGTGTCTCTTGTACAGGCACATTTACCTGGGAGGGCGGCCCAGAAGAACGTCTCGCTGCACGGTGGGGGCATTTACAGCATGTCTGCTATCTAATCAGACAATATCCTTTAATTATTAGGTACCCGGTATTCTCCATTGTGCATGGTGCTTACAGGGAGACAAAAGAGCCCAAGAGCTTGCGGTGTGTGCACAGAGCGCTCGCTTCGTGGCAAGCCTGGGCCCTGTGTTTAGATGTAGTTGGTGAGTTATGAGTCTGAGCCCTGGGCTGCAGAGGAAATATGCTGTGGTGGAAAAAAAAAATCCTATGGTAACTTTGCCTAGAAAGACGTATGTCATGCAGGGTCTGAGGAGCTGCTGCTGTTTAGTTTTCTGCTGCGTAAGGATTTATGGACAAGTTCCCTTTTCCAAGCACAGGCATGTTGCTTAGCCCAGTAATATTAAGTGTGTTTTACTCTCTCATGAATTAGGCATTAGTCTGTATGATCCCACCTCTAGATGCTGACCTGGCAATCTATTTGCAATCCAGTATAGGTCCAGCAGGCTTTCTGGGCGTGCTGGCCAGCGAGGGAGTCCTTAGCCTTGCAGCCTCCTTGGGACAGGGGAGGTCACGGGTCCCTGATGCAGTGTGGATGAGACTGAAGAAACCAGGTGTCCTGGAGTTTGTTCCCTTCTCCTCACTGTGTTAGGAGTCAGGGGAGCAAATCTGTCACTTCAAGGAAAGAGAGGCATGCAACTTTGAGAGAGACCTTGGGAGTTTAAGAGAGACCTTGGGAGCCTGCTTACCCTTCCCCTGCACCTTGTGTGGCCGCTCAGATCGGTGCAAAGCGGGTTAAAATGCTAGCATCAGCAAGGCAGCTGTTATATGTGCTTCCAGCTCACTTTGAATCGGCATACAGGGCGTCCTTGTTGCCATGCACCGTGTGTGCTGGCCGGGCTCTGAGCATTGTTGTTTTTTGTGTCCCTCCCTTTCATATAACAAGCGAGCTGATCCTGTAATGAAAAAAATGCCAAAGGAGTTCTATTAATAACCCTTTTACGAGCCTGCCTAAGGACCTGAGCACGAGCCATTGTGCAAAGAACAAAAAGCTGCGGGGATTTAACAAGGCCATCATATTGCCAGCCCCTCGATCTGCGCCCGAAGAGGCTCCCCTGCTTGTGTGGTCACTGATTCGGCTGGCCGGGAATGAAACTCTCCGGTTGTCTCAGCTTCCCGTTCACATCCCACTTCTCCACTGCCACTTTTCTTTCTAGGCTAGGACATTTTATGCAGTTCTTTCTTCCGCGTGGGCTCTGCTTTTCAGCCTGCCAGAGCTGCTTTAGTGCTGAGGCACTTTGTTAGCTTTCATGTATTCATCGGCGCAGCTGCAGCTTTTCCAAGGAAACCTGTTAACACTGCTAATGCCGCGTTACCTAGAGTTGTACTAGTTTTCACAGCTTTTCGAGAGGTTGAATAATGTGTGGAAGGAGCAGGAGAGCAGCAATAGCCTCTGCTTTTGAGACATCTTGTATACAGCTGTAAGGAAGTCTTCTTTAAGCCAAGTCATCTGTGGCGGTGATATGAGAATACAGGAATGCTGTCTATTAAGTGGGGGTAACCAAGTAGGGGGTGTGTGTGTGTGTGTGTGTGTGTGTGTGTGTGTGTGTGTGTGTGTGTGTTCCCCCCAACCCCCCTTTGTTGGCAGCAAAAGGCCATTTCGATACAACTCTGCCAATGCAAATGTTTGTCTGGTGGTCGCTGCGGCTGCTAATTGTAGATTGGCTTTTAGTATGAGCTGCGTGACTGTTACATAGCAAGCAAGGCTTTTTTAATAGCTCTTAAATGGAATCGGAGGAGGGGGCACACAGAAAAGTACTTGTCTGCTACCAGGCTGGAGTACTTATTTAACTATCTGTTTCAAACTCTGTCTGCAGAAATGATATGTTAAAAACTGTTACAATAGCAATTGGTGTCTTTTGGTTCAGCTTTAGTATCCAGCGCACCATGTATTTTAGCATGAAATTAAAAAAAAGAAACCTGCCTGTAATGCGCTGTCTCTTATTCTGATGGGGTATAGCAAACTGGTGGTATTGTAAATTGGCAAGCTGGGTGTCCGTGTAATTCTTTTTCAAAGACAAATTTCCTTCTCTGCATTATAAACATCACCCTAGATTTTCAGAATCAGTACCCCAAACACTTCTACGTACATTGGGCTTCTACTTCACTTCTTCCTGTTTTGTCTTTTTTTCCTCTCCTCCATTTCTATTAAACTCAAACAGTGACAATCCCATAGTCTCATCAGCTACACCTACCAAATCTGGATTTTATAGTCAGTTTTACTTTTGTCTTCTCACTAATAGGTGTCTGCAACCCGAGCATTCAGCATTTGTTTAGAACATGCATTTTCTGGCAGCATAAAATATGGAGGCCTTGGATTGTAAACAGTTCAGGGAGTCGTTCCTAGCCCTAGAATATTGTAGATAGGAGTGGCTTTTACAAATCTCACGTTGCTTGGGAGTAAAACCCAGTTAGTATGCTAGTCTGTGTTTTATGCTTACCTTGCACTGTCCTGAAGGATTTGGGGACAGATTTCACCAGTCATCTTTGCAGGTCACTGACGACTTAAACCTTTGACAGGCCCTGCAATATTTGTTCATGTGCTACTATCCTGATGGATCCCCCAGTACTGAAAAATATAGGCTTGCTTGTAAATGGAGCACAGTCAAAACGGGGAATTATCGTGGAATCCATGGATACTGTTTGCTAGTCTCTCTTTAAAGTAGAAATACCTTAAAGGATAGCACCTAAGATCTACTGTGCAGCTGGCAGCTGCTGAACTTTCCCTGCAGGTACAGAGCTGTCGGCTTGGATTTCCACGATTGAATGTGCCATAACCACTTCTCCTGCAACAAGCTGGAACAAGTGACCCTTTTTAAGTCTGATTAGTTGTTTTTGGATCGCTCCTCCTTTTGATCATGAGGGAGGGAAAAGATGTTTAAAGAACTTGTAGGTCTCTGAACAGCGATTTCCCATAGATACAGGACTCTCAGTGGCGAACAATTTTAACGTTTTATATTGCTGCCTCTCACTGTAGTGTCTAAGCACCTGGCTCGAGAGGAACTGGGCAACCTGGGTTCAGGTTTCTGTTCAAGTCTGTTTTATGGATTTTACATTACACAGTCACTGAATTATAGATCAGAAATAATTCTGGGACCAGGGTTGTTGTTCCCTGTCATCTGTCCCTAAATTGCCCCTGCCCAGGACAGATAGTTTTTGGGATCGCTCTTTTGAGGGGCTGACTCTTTCCCTGTGCACTGTATAGGGAGCCTGGGATACACAGTGCTGGGTTCTGGAGTCCACCCTGGAGGTCCTCGGTGTCTGGAAGTCGAGCATTGCAGCATCTTCTGTACAGACACTAAAGTGATCCAGGGGCAAGATGACAGATGCCTGGATTGGCATGGCCAGGCCCTTACGTGGGAAGAAGGGGCTGAAGTTTCCTTGCAAGCAGGAGGTGAAAGGTGTTGGCTTCATGCATTAATGCTCCCTGGATGGAGAGTCAAGAGGACCCCGAGGTTTTGTACTCCTATGATCAATGGGAACCATGCACTTGCAGTGGGAACAGGGACCTGGGTCATTCTTTAAAGGCATTTTCCCTTTCCATCCAGGGTCCATTAGGGTCTGATGATGTCTCTGACAGCTGCTGTATCTTTTGGGCACTTTGGTAGGTGTACATCTCTGAAGGCAGGCAAGGTTCATTGGGTAAATCTGATATCTTTTATTAGACCAATTCAAATAGTTGGAAACAATTCTTCTTTGCAAGCTTTCAGCCACAAACCCTCTTCATCAGGCTGAGAAAGCCTCTCTGAAGGCGGCACTGATCATTTCCCTTACAAGTGAATGTTGCTGCTTTTCCCTGACCTTCCCCAGAGAGGAAGGGACTGGATCCATGTAGCAGGTGTTGTCACCTCCGGGGCTGCTTGACCTTTGGCAGCAAGCTGGGGCTGAAGTCTAC